CATATGATGGTGAAAACCAAAAAGTGGGTAGGCACCTGTGTTAGCCATGGGGGTCCTTCAAAAAAGAGGTGCTTTCTATGCATTTAACTTTCCTACAAAAAAACCAAACAATTTAAACACTGATCTAATCTTTAGGTGGAAAGCCAAGAGTAACCGTAGACTAGGATATGCACCTAGCAATCTAGAATAATTCTACTTCAAATGTAGGAGAAGCCAGATTCATATATCTCTTAAGGAGGAAGGGGTGGGGAGATGGGATAAGAAGCAACACAGATTTTCCTTAAGCTTTCCAAAGAGAGGTGGGAGGTAGATAATGACTCAGCACTATGACCAAAATATTTCTCCTGGACAAAATAAACTCTTCTGAAATTAAGAAAAAAAAGCCAAAGAGAGCAAAGAAATCTTCTAGCACTTGGGAAAGAAGTTGAAAAGATCTTCCCACTCCACTACATAGTTTGAGTTACCAGTGTTGATTTGACACCCCTGGAAATCCTTGTGGTTTAACTGGTCTTGAATAGGTTGGGGTATAATAAAAAGCAGATAACCTCAAAAATGAGTATGTGATAGCAAGCTCCTGAACACCTATCCTGAGTTTCTTTAGGGCTTCCAAGAATTGTGGGTCAATCATAAAGGCTTTGTTCCTAAATCCATATGTGAGCATACAAACATCTAAAGCATGCAGAGAGTTTAAAGAAAGAAACCCAAACCTGTCCTAGAGGAGGAAGAGTGTTATCTTTGCCTGCTGGGAGGTCCTGTCCCACTTTGCTATTTATTTTGCTTGCTGACGACATTAATGAGACAGAAAGGAAAAAGGAATGTATTATTAGATCCTAAGACATGCATTAAAAGGATGCATGAAGACCTGAATTCTCCAGCTGAGTGGTAGTCAAAAGGTTTTTTTTCCTGCTAATGCTGCCGGAGTTCTTATGACAGGCTTCTCCTAATCACCTCAAATACTTAACACTTCCAGATACTCAGGAATAGCCCCAAAATATTTCCAAAGTAGGGATGCACTTGAAGCTTGATAAACAATATCAGGAAAAAAAACACACCAAACATTTTTCTGCTTATAATACCATCTCCTTTGATGCTGCAAGAAGTCTGATGTTACAGGCTGCTTTAACACTCCTAATCTTAGGGATTTTTTTTTTCCCCTGAAGTATTTATGCAGCACTAAAGAAGCTTGTGCATGGTGAGAAAGCACTTACATCAAGAACCTCGAGAAGTCAAGAATGGCTCCACACTTACATTACAGCACAACAGATTTTTAGGAACCGCATGATTAGGTGGCCACTGAAGACACAGGCAATGTCCTCAACCTTTCATTGTGCCTATAGTATCCAAAGACAGTTTACTACCATGTGAGCACAGGACCTATCTCCATAACAACCAGTCACATACGGTACTTAACCACTCGTACCTTCAGTACATTTCCATTTCCAAAATACCACTATAGGCTCTTCCTAGTTCATTTGTTTTAAGGAACACGGATGAACCTTTATCATTGCTTCCCTCTTCTGAACTGAAAACTCAGAAGGAATTCATGAACAGGAAGACTGTCATTCCCCATTTTTGAAGACGGAAACTAACACAAAGATGTCCAACAGTCTGCCCAAAATGAGACAAGCAAAGGCAGATTTAGGAGCAATGATAACAAACTCACTCCCCATCTCTTCCTGTCCCTAACCTTCCTAAAGAAATATTCTGATTATTAGATCAGCTTTTAAACAGTCTCTTGTCATCATTCCCCTCCCATATAGTAGAGAAGAGCAATCATCAACAGCAACAAGAGGGAAAGAGACAATCTCCAATCTGAGAAAAGAAAATATTAATTCTGGCTTTAAGTTCTGTTCTTCACTCATTCAACTCTAAGAAAACATCTTGGTTAGAGTTAACCAAAATTCCACATACAGACCCCACAACAAAACACCAAAACCCCACACCCAGGAATGCATACTGAGAATTAAATTCTCATGGATGTATCACTTTCTATAGTTATCAAGCAGTCATAACAAATGACAATCTATCTGCGATTAAGTCAGTATCAGTGAACATATCTACCCTAAAACTAAATGGATCCTGCTGCTTCATCAAGACAGGTCGGGCTGTAAGAAGGGCAAGAGGGAGAACACATACCGAATGTAAAATGCATTTCACTTTTAGGAAACTGATATAGCTTCTAAAGCATACAGAACAATGCTGGAACCAGCTAATTGGGTGTAACCCAAAACACACTGATGAAACCACAGTTATTAAAAAAGCACATCAACTTCTTAATTACAGTAAAGAGATTACATATAAAATGAACTTACCATCTCTGTCTTCATCATGAATATTTAGATACAAATACTCCAGCCCTCTTCCCTTCTTGCCATGCTCTGCTCCCTGTATTTTAGCCATAAGTGTGGTTTTACCTGAACCATCATCACCTGCCAGTAAGTTTTTACAGGAAAAAAAAAGACATTTTCAGAATTAATTTTAACTTCATAGAAAAGATTTTTCAAAACGTTTAAGTAATTGGAAGTATCCTTGTACATTGTTGGATCATACTTATTTGTAGTTTTCTTTCAAATATTCCAGCTAAATCCAACAGTTTATATCATGACAATAAGAATGAAGCACTTAATTATTCTCTATTACATCCCGGTTTTTAAAATATTTTATAAATCTGACAGCAAAAAACAAAAGTAAATCAGCATAAAAACAAGGATACCAGAGATCATGTTACATAACTTATTTTTAACAAACTGATGTGTCAATTTGTTCACATCATTGTTTCAAACAAGATTTATTAAAAAAAAACCAAAAAACACCACCCAACTGCTTACATATGTTACTTACCAAAAACAAGAATATTCTTGCCCGATGGCAATTTAGATCTTGATCGGGTAGAAACTTCGCTCAGTATCGAGGACCTAGAAAAACAGCATCGTTGTCCTTAGACTGCCGTGCCCACGGACAAACGCACACACAAACACAGCCCACGCACTGCCCATTTGACAGCACTGATGAGCTCAGCAGATCTGCACGGACCAATCCAGTTACATTCATTCTATTTACAAACGAGATATAATATTACAGTGAAACATTTATTTTAAAAGACCAAAAGTATGCCACCTTTCCGAGAAAACATGCGGTACACATGCGGTAACATTTTTTCTCCCTGTAAGAGGTCACATTACTGCAAAGCATTACTTTTCAACTGATGACTAACTCTTCCCACAATCCATTACTGTAATCTACACACATTTTTTTTCTACCATTATTAGTATTTTTTAAAGCGTTACTCAGAAATAAGCGACAGGAAAAGAGAGCGAGTCTCCCGGAGCCTTCCCCACAGAGTCACGGCTCTCGGGCCCCGCACGCCGGCTCTCCCTCACCCTCGCAGCGACGCTGGCCTCATTCACGCGGGTGCGGGGCTCCCCTGCGGCTCCCACCGGCCCCTCTCGGGGCCGGGAAGGGCTGCATTCCTCACCGGCCCCAGCGCCTCGGCCGCCGGGCGGGCCAGCCCCCGCCGCGGGCAGCTGCTCTGGGGCGTCCCGCGTCTGTCACGGCGGGGTCTCCCTGCTCTGCCGAGCCACCTCA